GATTTCCGGGACCGGAACGGCGAGATAGATGACCGGAGAGACTTGGAAGCGGACATTTCTGGGGAAGTCACGTGCCAGCGCGGTAGTTTGCCGCCTTTTGTCCCTCCAAAAAGAGAAGCTTTTGATTTTGTAAGTCCAAAATGTGTCGTTTGAATTTTGGACCCTTTTGCCGTTTTGGCCCTTGTGGAGGGGTTTCTTTTGGTTTGACTCATAGATGTGAAATGTCTGAAACGGGCTTTGGGTGTCTTGGTGCTTGTGTGTAGGAAGAAGTTGAAGAACCAATTTGTTAGATGAGGTAGAGGGATGAGAAGTTTTGTTAGGAATATAAATGAGATGTTTCGAATTCGAAATCTTCTGTTCACATTAAAAGAAAAGAAAAATTAATTTTGTTAGATGGACAAGAAAAAAGAATAAATGATTTTTGGGTGAGTATAGAAAGTTGAAAATCTTTACATTTTCCTCTAAATTCTTAAATCGATTACACAAAATTTCATATATTGTGTTATGTTTGGCTAAGAAATTATTTGATCACTATAGCACTTCTTTTTGTAATGTGATCAATGACGGAACCAAATAATTTCCTTTGACGGGATGAACTTTAAGCCAATTAAATCTTTAGTATGTAACTTAAAATATTTTAAATTTCTTGCATAGGTAAAAGTTAAATTTATAAAGAAAATTTATGAAAATTTTAATTTCCTAAGGGATAAAATTTTCCAAAATTTGGAAGGGCCCCTTTCCCTCCACTTCTAGTTCCATTCCTGAATGTGTGCAAGACAAAAACATGGTCGTGGATATAAAAAAAGTGTTTTAAAATATGTTTATAATGCAAGAAAAATGCAAAAAAAAAATATTTGAAAAAAATCTTATATCCAAATACATTCAGCAGTTGTTATACATTACTACACATAATTTACCAACGAAAGACTACTCATAGCACAAATTTTACATACTAACATGCATGAGTACTAAATTATTGCAATTATCAATTTCAAACTCGTACAAGTTTTGACATCTAATTGTGTGGTGCATCATACGTTGTTTTACATCAAGTTTTGCGTGAGCATTTTCGAGAAATTACTAATGGCAGTCAAAGAATTATCTGTAATTAGAAGGGATAATTGCAGAAACCTCCCCTGAGGTTTCTGATATTTGCATTGACCTCCCCTATGGTTTGAAAAATTACACTGACCTCCCCTGAGGTTACTAATCCTTTGCAAATTCAGTCCAAACGATTAAAATATTGTTTTAGGGAGTGAAATTAGAATTTGTACCAAATTTGTCCTTTGTACTACATGTCCAATAAATGACAAAGTACTACAAATCAATTAACAATTAATAAACTTTAAGAACTATAATTTATAGGCCAATACACATTACCTATTTAAAGTACCGGCTCTTTATGGGTATTTTACTTTCAAACATTTAATTTAATACAAATACTTACGCTCAAATACAGATTTGTATTTACTTTCAAATATTTCATTTTTGTTAAATACAAAAACTATCAATCTCTCTTCCGTAAAAATATTAATATAACACTTTTCAATTTTAGTTACAAATATTTATGTATTTAACATAAATTAAATAATTCAGAATAAAATGCCCATAAAGAGCCAATACTTTACTCATGTAATGGATGAAAGTCATAAAAAATTAATACTTTATGGGCCATTTCTTTTTTTTAAATATTTAATTTATATTAGACAAATAACCTACTAATTTCTTTTTTGCAAGAATATTACTGTAACACTTTTTAAATTTTACTTACAAACATTGATGTATTTATCATAAATTAAATGTTTGAAAGCAAAATACCAGTAAAGAGCCGGTATTTTAAATGAGTAATGCGTGTTTACCCATAAAGAGCCAGTAACTATTTAAAGTACCAGTTCTTTACGGGTATTTTACTTTAAAACATTTAATTTAATACAAATATTTACGCTCAAATACAGATTTGTATTTACTTTCAAATATTTAATTTTTGTTAAATACAAAACCTACTAATCTCTCTCCCATAAAAATATTAACATAACACTTTTTCAATTTTAGTTACAAACATTTATGTATTTAACATAAATTAAATGATTCAGAATAAAATGCACATAAAGAGCGAATACTTTACTCATGTAATGGATGAAATCCAAAAAAATTAATACTTTATGGGCCATTTCTTTTTTTAAAAAATATTTAATTTATATTAAATAAATAACCTACTGATTTTCTTTTTGCAAAAATATTATTATAACACTTTTTGAATTTTACTTACAAATATTGATATATTTATCATAAATTAAATGTTTGAAATTAAAATACCCATAAAGAGCCGGTACTTTAAATGAGTAATGCGTGTTTGCCCATAAATTATACTCCTTAAAATTTATTAATTGTTAATTGAGTTATAGTACTTTGTCATTCATTGGACATGTAGCACAAAGGGCAAATCTGGTATAAAATTCTAATTTCACTCCCTAAAATAATATTTTAATCGTTTGAACTAAATTTGCAAAGGATTAGTAACATCAGGGGAGATCAGTGTAATTTTTCAAATTACAGGGGAGGTCAGTGCAAATATCAGAAACCTCAGGGGAGGTTTCTGCAATTATCCCTAATTAGAAACCAGGCATGTAGTCATCAATGGCAAGTGATTTAATGCCAAGGGACATTTAGGAAATATAGTACTAGTGACTAGTAAAAGTTAATTCCTTTGGACAAAAGAAGTCCACATAGGAGGTCAATATGCCATTGATATATCCCTTCAGTGTAATCTGTCTACAATTCGAATGATTAGTCAATGGAAGTGAGCGTAGAAGACAAATAGGAAAAGGTAGAGAAATTACCTCCGTGGTTGATAACCTACTTTAATCCAAATTTTGCTTATGCAACACGTTCACATCCAATTATAATAAACTATGATAATATATATACTGTCAATGTATATAAGATTTATTTTTATTTTAATCTATGTAGACACATAAAGAGATAATCCACTTAATTTGATTTTTTTTTAGGTACTTGTAGATATACTTTTTGGTTCCAAGATCTTACATAAGCTAACAAATATTTCCTCAATGTTTTGGGTTCTTTTTCATATTAAAAAATATAAAAGTTCCCAAGAAAAACATTGAATTAGACATTACAAAGAATTGGAATTCAATTCTCCAAGATTGGATAGCAAAATTGCAAAACATCACAATAATGACAAAGACATTATACTTGGAGTAGGGACATTTCAGGCTAGAGATGACCTATGTAATCAGTAACTCTACTGTTTAAGTATATTAGCGTTGAGAATGGAAGAATTTGCTTTGTTTATTCTCAGAAATTGATCGGCTATTACAACCTGGCTTGACCAGTTTAGGCCATGCAAATGGGTTTTAAGAATTTGATCGTGGCAAGTTGAAAGCAAATGACTCGTGCCATTGAAGCATTACAAATGAACACCACCTATGTTGGGTCCTCAAGAATTTGTTCAGAAATCGAACCATAAGTCTTGTGCCTGCCTTTGAAACACTTATCAAATGATTGCCACTTAAGCTACTGCATACTGATACAGTTCTTGCTCTCACCAAATTGCGAATTTGATATTTTACTTTGTATACAAACCAAGTTACTTGGTGCATGTAGACACCTTGGTCTGTCCGGATTAAATTAACCATATACATTTCCTTAATATAAAGAGACACCTTGTCTCGGACATCTTCAAATGAGATGATTGATGAAATTACTCCTTAACTAGCTTTCATCTCGTCTAATTTCTCAACCTGAATCAACCGACATCTCAGCGAAAGATATGATTTTGTGACTAATTGATTGATATGATTGCCAACCACCCTATTGCTCAGACCTACACTTGACACTGCCGTCCTAGCCTGTCTCGTGATATTTGATAATGGATAGAACTCGTCATTCCATCCACAGACTTGTTCTGTCCACTATAAATACTCATTCACCACTTATAAATGAGGTACAAAGCTCCCGAACTACTTGTCACTTCAGCATAGAAGTGAGACCAGGGAACAAAGCTCCAGCCGCTTGGTACTTTGTAGGTGAGCTTGTTTCCTGGTTACCTCGCCGTTCTCGCCAAGAACTCATCTCATCAGTGCATGAATTGAACTTGACAAATTTGATATTTTGCTTTGCATACGGATCAAGTTACTCAACGCACGAATTGAATTCAACTCAATAAAAAGCGCATTCAAATTTGATTCATTAGCTAATCAAGCCAAAGCCCAAGTGCAAACATCGATAATATTTTGTATTTGATGAAGTTGTAAACTTGGCTCGAATTTGATTCGATTAGTATAAAATTTAAAATTTACACATAAAATTTCAAGTTATTCAAACCAAATCAAAATCAGCTCAATGAAAGTTCGATTAAGTTCAGCTTAATGAATAAATAAGTCAAATTCAAACACTATTTCAAATTCATTTCCTATTCAAATGAATGCACCAAACATGAAGTAACACTTCACATAAAATCAAGGTTGACGACTTTGAAGAATTTCTTGTTCTTTGTCCCCGTCCAAGTCTAAACAGTCAAAAGTCTGAACACCATCAAACTTCAGCTGTTGAAAAGGAGAAGAGGGAGGACTGCTGAATTAATAATGTTAAACCTGCCAAAAATGGGAGTTATTGTCAAAAAAATATTTACTTGCATCACAATCACATTTTCCAGCACACCATCTTATCACACATACATCATATCGCAAAAAGTGTTATAATAATTATCCCAAATAATATTTTAAATAATCTCCTATCCAAACATAGTAGTCCTCAAAAAAGTGGTCCGGAAAGAGCAAAAGGAAAAACTTGATAATGAAAAAGTCCGCAAATTTAACAAGTCCAAAAACCCTCCTTCTAATGTGCTAAGGTTATGATAAAACATCCAGCATCATTTGGCAAAACATTAAACTAATCCAAACCAAGCTCAACAAGCAAATCTCCCATATCGTAGCATGTTTCACCAAATAATCTCTTTGATCCTACAATCAGATAAAAGAAAAAATTAACTTTATATTTAAGGATTGACTTTAAGATCTTTTGGTCATGAACATATTCTCTTATTTACGGGGCTAATACATTACAATGTGACAGCAAGTCCTGCACAGTTGCAGACTTGCAACTGTGAGACACGCCCGTCTTCTGGTACTGAGAGCAGTGATTTACACAGAACGATATATTGCCAATAGCAGAAAATCACCCACAGGGATCACTCTGAGGAAAGCTTAGCACGTGTATGGAAAAAAATTATCTTTCGGTATAAACTCTGACAATATGCAGCTGTTTGTTATTTCAGGTTAGAACAGAAAGGAAAAATGATTTTCATTCTTCTCAGCACCAAGTTAATTCAGCCTTCGATAAGCCATGAAAAGTCTGTAAATGAAATCTTCTCATCCCACCTCAAACCTGGAAAAAGCCAGAAATACCCCATCAAAATTGATGTATTACATCCAGTAAGTCAAAAGTTTCTCCTCAAAACTTCGTAGTATCATGCTCCCACTTTTTTCCGTTGCTTTATCTCATTAATTACATCTTCTGCAAGTAAATCAGCATCAGTGTTCTTGCCGAAAAATTTGACAAACTCCATTTTGGGATCCATGAGATATCTGCACACATTGGATTCAACAGCATCAAACATAGTAATTACAAAGGATCACTATTACGTATCCTTCTGGTGGCAAAAATTAGTCTCTTCCAGATAAAAGACTCTTTTAATCTCATCAGAGCAGATGTACAACAATTTGCTAAAATCATCACTACAGACAAAAGAAGACTCTTCACCATGGATTATAGAAAGATATGTTCAACCACGATAGATGTCAGGATGGTATACTCCATTTGTAATTTTAATATTCAAAATAGAGGATGTGCAAAGCAGCAATGAAATTGCAGGGTGGGAATAGTAGATCAGGTTTTGTCAGAAGTTCTAAAGCAAAACTTCTAAGGCAACAGAAAAGACATTCTCCAGTAATGCATATTGAAATTATATGGAAACTGAGTTTCAACAACACTATAACACACTTGGGCTTGCTGACTTGGGAATACATTTCCTGCTAACATGAGGTTTCTTTCGTTCTAGCAAGTGAAAACAATACAGATCAGATAACAGTGGTTTTTCTTCCTTGCAAAGCGGCACCATTATATTGATATTATCTTTATTCGTTATGCCAAGTTGGTTCAACTGCCCACCTCCCAAGGAAGCTCATATCTCTAACATTCTGCTAACCTATGGTCTATACAGCTACTGGCCTTTGTCATCAAAAATCCCCCAGAATACAGTCACCTCTCCCCTTCCTGAAGAAAAACAAATATCCCAGAAAACTTTTTATTTTGTTCCAAGTATAAGCAATGGGCTTTACTCTTTTGGTCCCAAAAGAAGAAAATCTGATTAATTACCCGCCCATAGAGTATTCCTTTTGTTTGAAACACAAAGGACAAAAAATCCTATTCATCATAAAACTCAAAATACAAGAATAACAAATAGAGAATTATATTTACCACAAAACTGCATGAAGTTTTTTGCATGGTGAACATTCATAAAATCTAAATAATTGCAGGCTTAGACTAACTGGACAAAGCAAACAAAGGATTATTGCTCACCAGTTTCTCACAAATATTAGAACTAGAAGTAAACCATCATTCTTAAGGTTCCTCACATTCAAAAAGCCCACAAGAAAATTACATTGTTCTTCCCTTATGATAGAAAACTAGGAAGTTAAGAGACCAAAATAAACGATGTGGGCTTCATACATAACACTTGAATGGTTTAGAGACGTAATGTAATGTCAGATACAAAAGTACTAACAACAAAAGCAAACAATTTAATATAAATCATGTTCATTCCACAAGCAGAAGGTAATTACATACATGACAATTGAGTGGTCAACAAGATAGTCTGAACCTTCCTCTTCTGTCTTCATATAATAAACTCGATATGCACGTGCAGCCTTTTTTATCTCATCCGCATTACCAGTAAGCCCAATTAAATTTGGATGGAATTCTAGAATCACAAAATGAAACCAACTTAGACACAGCACTTTCAACTCATTTCAAGGAATGCATAAGAAGTTACTCTTTTCCTCTTTATTTAGCAAGCAACATAGAGGTGAAAGGCAATTGTTGTAGAAAGCACCTTTAACATATTCCCGAACTTGCTCAACTGTATCTCTTTCAGGATCAACTGAGATGAACACTGGGACAACTTGAATTCCAGATTTTTCTTCTGCAGATGTCAGGATTTTAGGTAACATTAATGTGGAAACAGTTAAACAGTACCCCATCACATAAAAGGTAACCTCTACAATGCAGGTAATCAGTAGCATCAAATGAATTTTCAAAAGTGGTTTGATGCTAACATCCATCGAAGACATGAATCAAAGTTTGACATTCTAAAAGATACTTCTGTAATCTATGTTTTAACAGATTATTCCAGGTCATAGAAACAATCTTGCCGGCCTGTACATGTTAAACAGTAGAAATGTCTAAAATATTATGTACTGGTCAAAATGAATTAGCATGGGATAACAGTCATATCATTAAAGCATGACAGTCAATGGCCTTTATGGAGGCACTTTCCCAGTAGCATGAGCAGCTAGAAAAGTACTCGTTCACAGAACCATCAGAAATTGAAAACGTGTCTGAATGTGTTTACTTTGTAAAATGAGGGGGTTGGGGAAGCCATTACTAGCTCTGTATTCATGAATGTTTTTAGCCTTTCTGAAGTAAAACAAGAGGGTAAGAACTGCAAAATTACTTGGTGCAATGAAATAAATTGAAAAAAGAAGATGATAGAAGTAAAATATCCAACTCCATACGTTCCATGGCCATTCAACATGGAATCTGTAAGTGGATCAGTTTTAAAGAGGTAAACTTTTATATGAGGTAACAAAACCACTTTATCAGTACAACATGGTAGTCAATCAAACTTGCATAGTAGTAAACGGCTAATACAAATCCCAAACTCTATCTCAGGCAACTTACTTATTTTATCCACTGCAGCAGCAAGCTTTTGTAGTTCATCTGGGCATATATCCGGACAATGTGTGAATCCAAAATATATTAGATTCCAATTCCCAAAGAAATTTTTCTCAGTCACAGACTTCCCAGTATGATCCACAAGGTTGAATGGACCCCCAATTGCAGCTTTCCCTGCAGAAGGCCCCTCCTTTACTGTCTTAGAAGCACTATTGATTCCTACAAAAACAAAATTATAATAAATCTATTTCACAAATCATGGCATAATTTGAGAGAAAATTCTGCAACATCGAATTTCCATGAAATCCCAGAACAGCAAGACCACAAAGATAGACTAAATAACTGCAATGCATCAATGGCACAAGAGTTCCAATCAGTAAATTCCTGCCTTAGTAGTCCTAGGCCAAAGAATGTGAAAAAAAAAATGATCAATAACGAATAAACCAAGTGGGCAAACCATCTATAACCAACCTTCAATATGTCGCTTCTTTTCCCGGTCATAATACCAAACTAATACTGCTCCAGTAGCAAGAAGTAAGAAAAAGCTCATCCATGAAACCGGCTGCAAAAAACAAATGAATTATATAGATTTTCAAAACACGTATCTATGAAATTTTAAGTTTTAGTGCTAAAATTCTAACAGTAAATTGACAAAGTGCACACTGAGGGACAACATATTATTAGAACTAGTGGTAAAGGGCACGCTCAATTTGTGTATAATTTAAAAATAAATTATTCTCTGTATAAACTTATTCACATAAATTTTTCATTACTGAACATAACTTTAATCTTTCAAGATTTTTTTCCATTAAGAGTATAATTATGTTTGTATGTTTATGGGTAATTATATTGGGAAGATGTGGTTTGGTAGTTACAATGAAAATAGTTTGTGGTCAGGGTAAAAAAATTAGGTGTAAGGGCAAAAATGGAAGTTCAAAAAATGTTTACACCAAACTCAAGGCTCCCACTTTATATATAGTATAGATAATTCAGACAATTTATTAGTTTTCCTTAACTTCACTAACTCCAACTAATGATCCACATGATCTACAAGACCAATGAATTGCTTAGGGAGATCATTATGGAATGGTACTGTTGTTGATTGACAGTCAGAAATTAAGGTCCACCACATTTTTAAAAAAATTCCGCATACACTATTCACTTGATCCAGAAGTCCAATTCTGCCACCAGTTGAGTAAGGGCATTGAAAAGCCAGTGCATAACAGATTGCTAGATAACGAGTAAAATGCAATGATAAAACAAATATTGCAGAGACAAAATTATAATGCATCAAGTGAGAGATAAATGATAATCACCGAGCCTCGAATTGGCTTCCCTTGCTCGGTAGTCTTTTGAGAGCCGCCACTTGAGGTTTTGCTTTTTCCAGCATCTGAACTAGCATCTGAAGGTCCAGCAGAATTACTTGATTTATTCACATTAGTAGTAGTGGTGCAAAGAAACCTATGCTTTGATGTCCATGATGGAAACATTCCATATTGAACCCTTCCAAAATCCTATAGAAAATAAACACTCAAAGTCAAACAAATATCGACATATATCCACCATGTCTACAGTGCACTACATGTAAATACCTACGTGGTACACACATATATATGTTAGAAACACATACATACACACACACACACAGATATATATATATATATATAGAGAGAGAGAGAGAGACCGATGAAGATAGAAGTTGGGACTGATGATGGAGATTTTCGAGGCCGCTATTATTATAAAGCTGTAGCAGAGGACTCCTTGATGATGAAGTTGAATGGCATCGGTTTAACAAGCTGTAGTTAGAGGAGAAAGAGCAATATATATAGCGAAGGCGGTGGTTTCTTGAAATTGCACTGGCCATATGGTTTTCTTGATCCAATAAAATACTATGTGATATCACTTGATACTGAGCTCTCGAAGCTTTCTGGATCTACTGCTACTCCTACACTTGTATCCTGGCAATTAAAGTTGATTGCATTATGTACTTCTCCTTATACTAATTGGGATATACAAATAAATTAGCCTTCGCCATAAATGAATTAAGATCTATAATCTTCTAGAAAAAAAAGTGTACAATTACATTCCGCATTAACCAGAAGAACAAGTCTTAGATGGCCATTGCATTGTTCCTACAATCAGGTCATGAAAACTCATGATGCTGCTTGGCAAAATCTAACAAGTCACCTGCTTAATTTTACTCTTTGATTTTATGGAAATTTAAATAGCAAGAAATCTCAGGGTGCCAACATAAAATCAGGGTACTTTGATTTTGGAAGTTATCAACCATAAGCAAAATGTCAGGTGTTATTTACTTACATAACACAAAGTGTAACTAAAAGAAATAAAGCATACTAAAAAAGAAAGAGAAAATGAAAGAACAAAATTTAAAATTCCATAGTTACTTACTTTCAAGAATAAAGTGCAAAATAATATGGAAAATACTATGCACTTTCTAAAGCAAATGCACCAGCATGCAGATTAAAGAAAAAAGGTACAACAAATCCATGATTGGGATGTACTGACCCAACACAGAAACCAACGCAGAAACAAATAAGGAAAAAGCAAAAGAAGTTTTTGAAAGAGGTAAAGAATGGGGTTAGCCAAGATGAAGGATATTGGTCAGACTGAGCTCCTCCCGTTTCAACAAAAAGAAGCATGTAAGCTGATTTACTTTTAATTTCTAAAGTTTGAAAGAAATATTGAGTAACAATACCAAACGCAATATGACTGAAGATGAGAAGTTTTTTGAACCAAAGATTAAATGAAAAGATATCTGTGTGCAGACATCAGAATCAGCGGAGGAATAAATTCAAACTATGCAACATGATTTCTAGATGCTTTAGAATATTATTCAATTGCAAGATGTAGAGCTGACATAAAGGATTTACTTAGAAAATGAACTTCTGACATGCAGATACTGGCTATTCTGACAAAGATGGGAAGGCAGTGATCAGAATGTAGCTTCTGAAGCTATACCTACACTAATTTGGACAGGACAATCAGCTGGGTGGGTTGTCAGCAGGGTATAGAATTTAAGGTCCGATCCCATCATTACATGACAAGTTAGAACAGAGAAGTTAATTTTCCAGGCAGTTGGCTCCATCCAATTGTTTATTTGTTGTCTCTCTAGAAAAAAAAAAAAAAAGAAAAGAAAAGATAACAAGGTCATCTGTGCGTTTCCATTTTTGGACCTTTTGTGAATGAACTATATCCTTCTTGAGACAGAAAACAAGAAAGAGGAGGAGCAGTAAGTGAGAAAGCCAAATAGTAGAAAATAAGATGGGGAGAGGAAAGGTTCTGCTAAAGCTACAGAATACAAGGTAACACATAAACTGAATGTCTGACTTTCTCCAAAAGAAGAATTGGTTCCAGAAGAATCCCAATGAAGATACGGTTCTTTCTGATTGCAATGTAGAAATAACAAACAATGCCAACAAGCAGGGGCGGATTTAAAGTGGGGGCACGGGCCCCCACTACCCCCTTTAAATTCCTATAATACATCTACAATTTTGACATAATTTTAAAGGTGCCCCCATAATTTTTTTTAGAAAAAATGTGAAAGAATAGGTCACAAAATTTATATCATTCACTTTCCTCCTCTAGTTCCCATTTTCCCACCAACAGGGCCAAGTACCAATTATATCAGTCATTCCTTTTGGTCCCCACTCCCCAAGTTCCCTTTACTCCTGTGATCCCCCATTTCCCTTCACAACCGGCTCCTCTTCTTCCACACCCAAGTCAACTACTTTTTCTTTTTATCACTTCATCCAATTATCATTTACTTCCTTTGTCCCCACTCCCCAATTTCCCTTTCCTTATCTGCCTCTCGGTTGTCCCTACTCCCCAACATACATAGGAAAGTCATTTTTTTTTCACAACCAAAGCTTGTTACTCTTTCTTTTGATCACTTCATCCTATTTAGAGATTGCACCAGAATCAATTGATCTTCTAGGACTTGGACCCGCCACATTTTGCAGCTCTTTTCACCAACTTTAGGAGACCATCAAAATTAGGTTCTAAACAATTACTTCTTATTATTATTATTTTAAATTTGTTTGCAAATATATTTCTAGAGCATGAGACTATTACTGTTTTAAAGAAATTTGAAAATTGATTAGTTAATATAATAACTAATAAATGGGTTATTTGATAAATATTTTAACTTGTGAAATGGTGATTTTATGCATGAGACTTTTTTTTTGCTTAAAAAATTAGAAAAAGAGTAGATAAAAAATTTTAGTGTTATTTTTGCCCCAACTAAGATTTTTTTCTGGCTCCGCCCCTGCCAACAAGCTACGTTTTTGGAATAAGTTTCAACATCCAAAAACTAGCAACAGCCCGTGGCTTCAGACTAATTAAGCTTCAAAATCAGATTCCTTGATACTTCAGCAAGCTGAAAACTATTACTTCATGAGATTTTTGACTAAGTCATAACAACTCAAACCACCAAATTGCTAGACGGGTTGATATCCAAAACAGTACTATGACACAGAACCAGCCTTTGAACATCAGAAAACTATTATACCCTTGCAAAATTTCACATACATTTAATCAAACAGCAACAAGGCATAGCAGTTGAGTCTCATTACATTAATTTGCTCTTTAAAACACTAAATACAGACACGTTTATCAACTACCTGATCAAAACCCAACAAAGAAACAAAGTTAAACATAATCCAAATGATATGATCCGCAAGATTGAAACTTTTAACTTTCAGCTATTAAGACTCTCAACTTCCCATGTTTGTCCAGAGTTTCCAGTGACTCTGGGAAAAGATAGGGAAGGATAAAGGGGTTTAAACATAGCTGCAAAGAAGAAAAGGGTTGAGAAAAAGGAAAAACAAAAAGCGCGCATAGGAAGTTTTACTGGCGGGTGCTTGACGCGGTGGCGCAGCAGCAGTGAGTTTTAAACAGCAGACTTGTGGCAGAGCCTCCCGGGCTTAGTTATGCCTCATTTTCTTTTTGGCAACGAGAAATGGGGAAAAAATGGTTAATTACAAAATTATCGCCCAAACATATATCTTGATTCTTAGTTTGCCCACGAATATCTTTTTCTTTTAACTTTGGAAAAATGGCCAATTTAGTCCCTAAACTTTTTTATACTATCAATTTGATCCCTACTTAATTTTTTGGGTCAATTTAATCCTTATACTTACTTATCGGTTCCAATTGAGGAACGTCGCAGCGGCGTCACCTTGTAATTTGAATCAAGCTTCTAATTGAACACTTAAACAGGGGTATTTCGGGTACTTCACTGATGGGGATAAACCATTGTTGGCATTTCGGGTATTTCAGGTACTTCACCTTGTAATTTCCATCAAGCTTCCATTGTTGGCATAAACCCTCCTCTCACCATCAAAATAACTACTCCTCCTCTTCCCATTCTCACTCCCAGCAAGTGAGCTGTCATCCCTCAAGTACTTCCCGCAACAATAGGCTATCAGGAAGGAAGATCACCAATACAACCACAGCAGTTGACATGATTATCGCAACTAGTGCTCCGCTACCAAGAGGAACATATGGGTTGTGGGCTCACCGCGGCTGAGGGTGAATGAAGGATGGGGAATGGGATTAGAAGGGAAAGAAATTGAACTGGTGAATGACGAGGAAAGGAATCTGGGCGATGAAAAAGAAGAAATTTACCTAAAAAGACTCCGAGGGTTGGTGGTGAAATAGCGGACTTAACGACTTGCATATAGGAGCTGCTACTGCTGCGGCTGCGGCCGCCAAGGAGGAGGAGAAGCATGTTTATGGTGGGAATGATCAGCTCTTGGAAACTTGGTATTGCTATTGGAGCAAAAATGATAGTGCGGATGTAGCTAGGTAGTGTGGAGAGGAGATTTGTCCGCTTCCAGCAAACAACGAAATGCTGATACAAAAATGTCCAGTAGGAGTGGGAGGTAGGGTTTAGAAGTGAAGGGTTGATTCCGGCGGTGGCAAAGGCAAGAGAGAAAATGGGAAGAGGAAGAGGTTCGCATTTCACTTGTCAAATCTCAAAACAGCAAAAATCTTTGGAATCAGATCAAAAGTGGAGACTGGAGAGGAGGGCCGCTTATGGTTGCCCTCAAGTGTTGCTGCTTATTCATACGACTAGTACTATTATTACTAATTCCTCTGCTCTGCTAATTCAATGCAAATTACTACTCGTACATGTTTGTCTCTGTGGCAGATTTAGGAATGGTCCCAGACAGTGAGACAGGGCATTGTTCTGGAGGCTTATGGTCAGGATGCAGGAGAAATTCGAGAATTTGGAAGGAATGGGCCCTTGAGGTTGTTGTTGGAGAGGTCGAGGCGGAGGAGGCGACACAGGGAGGAGAGTTCCGATGGGATTTCGCCAGAGATGTCATTGTTGGAGAGATGGAGGAGCTTGAGATTGAGGTAGCAGGTGAGAGGGCTGAGGGTGCCGTTAAGGCGGTTGTCGTGAAGGTTGAGGAGGCGGAGCTGGTCAAGGGAGGAGAGGGAGTCGATGAGGCCTCGGAATTACCATCAGAAGTACCCGAAATACCCCTGCTTAAGTGTTCAATTAGAAACTTGATCGAAATTACAAGGTAGCGCCACCGCGGCGTTCCTCAATTGGAACCGATAAGTAAGTATAGGGATTAAATTGGCAAAAAAAAAATAAGTAGGGATCAAATTGACAGTATAAAAAAGTTTAGGACTAAATTGGCCATTTTCCCTTTAACTTTTTGTGTCGCTTAACTTCTTGTAGGATGAGACTACTCATCTATTCTATAGATTTTTTATTTATTTTTTAATCATCTCTCTTTTCTTTTCTGTTTTTTAAATTAGTTATCTCTTTTCAAAGTCTTTATTTTTTGGTCAAAAAAATATTAATCTATCTATCAAATTCTTTTTTGAAGATTTTATGCATCAAAAAATTGAATTTAGGGTTAACTTGCATTCTATTAGTATTACCTCCCGTGTAGAAATTCTACATTGATTTGGCTATCTTTTT